GGGGCTTGCCCAATTCACTCAGTCAGGGGAGAACCAACGGAGGAACCCACATTTTCAACTTTCAGTCCAGTTCTTGTCCAGCAGGTCCTCCAATGGCACCACAAATAACCACTCTAGCTGCTGCTGAATCTTAGGATACACCCACTGAATGAGCACAAATGCTTCTACCCAACTGCAACACACAGGCTTTCACTTTTGGGTGGAGGTTGGAGCCAATGTTCCACAGAAAATGTGCTGGCAGCAACCACATAGAACTTGGAAAGTAAAAGGTTGCTGTGGTATATTTTTGCTGTCAAGGAGCAAACAGACCTGTTCACACATATCCTGTACTGACAATGTACATGGAGGCAGGGAATAAATCTCAATCACTGTGCCACCCCTGGAATTTTCCAAAAGAAACCAGAAAGGTCTAATATCTGACAGTGCATGAATTAATACCACTGTAAGAACATTAAAGAAAAACCCACCGTGTCTAAAATCTCAAGTAAAACCTTTCTCAGGTTAGAAGTGAGTCAAGGCTTAAAGAAAGAAATTGAGACTCAAGGAATTCAGAGACTCTAATTCCCAGACTTCAAAAATTTTCATTTAGGGAAGGGTACCCATAAAAAAGGACATAGGGAAATCATCCTCAATTTTACTTCATCTATGGAGAAAGTATTTGAGTGTCTTTAAATACTTCAAGTTCAAGACCCAGGCCCACCATTTACCTGCGGTGGGATTCAGGGGCCACTTAAGTTTCCCATTCTGGATTACCATTCTGAGTTACCCATCTATGAACAGTCTTCTTGTTTATAAAGCAATGATCTTAACATATGCACAAAAGTTTATTATATAAAGGTGAAATAATATGTATAAAGTATTTAGTACATTGGCCCATGATAAGCACTGAGTAGCTCTGTATTTATTTGCTTTCTTTTTTCAGGGGAAAGAACGGTTATACCATATCCCAGCTCAGTTCACCTGTGATTTTTCTTTCTACTTGGCTGTCACTCTGGACCAGTAGACATTCCATCTGAGATCCCAGATCCTTACTCCTTGGATATTAAAGGCAATTAATGCAAATTAAACTCAACTGGTCAGCTATGTTCCACACAAGTGCTTAAAAGTCACGAACTGTCAGCTTAGCCCAAGGCTGTTCCTGCTTCCCCAGGGATCCCTATATTTCCCAACCAGGGCAGCATCTAGTTTAATATGGCTCTTATCTTTTCCAAGGTGAACCCACTCCACCAGCTTATAAAATCCCACTGGTCTGGCTCTCTCTGGTCCTCAGAAAAATGGATGCTCAATGGGCCAGACTTAGGTATCAACAACTGGATATAATTCCCAAACCAAATTTACCAATGGGTAATATCCAGGAGTCTAAATCTACAGGGAGACCAGCATATAAATACCAGCACCCCAGACACTGGAAACGAGGAGGCAAACATTAAAATGAAGCTGCCAAGAGGACTGAAGCACAAACCCACTCCCATATTGCTCCACTAAGAAGCCACATAAAAGACACACCCATTAGATTCTTAGGCTACATGTTTACACTGACCACATCTATCACAGTACTGCACATTGTGGCCACCTCAGGACATCAAAAGCTCTCAAAGCAGAAGAGAACAGAACCAATAATTACTGAGTACCTACTTCAGGCCAAGAACTATGCATGCTATTCTAAGGTATACCACATATACCTTATGTAATAATACATATTATGTAATAATATGTATTATTACATATTACATATTATTATATTACATATACCTTATGTAATAATACATATTATATTATTACATAAGGTATATCTTAAGAACTATTGTTCACAGAAGAAGAAATACAATTGATCAACAAATATATGAAGAAATGTTTAACATCTCTAGCAATTAGAGAAATGCAAATCAAAACTACACTGAGATTCCATCTCCACTCACAAATCATCAAGAATACAAGCAAAAATGAGTGTTGGAGAGGATGTGGGAAAAATGGTACACTCATATATTTCTGGTGGGACTGCAAATTGATGCAACCGTTATGGAAAGCAGTATGGAGATTCCTAAGAAAACTTAGAATGGAACCACCATTTGATACAATCATCCCACTCTTAGATTTATACCCCAAGGACTTAAGATCAGCATACTACAGTGATGCAACCACATTAATGTTTATGTCAGCTCAACTCAACAACTGCTAAATGATGGAACCACCCTAGGTGCCCTTCAACAGATGAATGAATAAAAAAACTGTGGATAGGCTGGGGTTGTGGCTCAGTGGTAGAGTACTTGCTTAGCCCATGTGAGGCCCTGGGTTCAATCCTCAGCATCACATAAAAAATAAATGAATAAAATAAAGCGATGAAAAAATTTACCTCATTAAAAAAAATTGTGGTATATATACAATGGAATATTACTCAGCCTTAAAAAAGAATGAAATTATGGTATTTTCCAGTAAATGGATGCTTTCATGGGTAGGTAATTTGAGACTTTGAGGTTAGGTAGCAGAGGCACAGGGAATCATAAAGTTTTTGAATCTCTGGTTCTTCTGGTAAGATGAAGAATAATTCTTTTTTTAATTATTTGTTCTAATTAGTTATACATGACAGTAGAATTCACTGTGACAAGGGCTGGGGATATAGCTCAGTTGGTAGAATGCTTGCCTTACATGTACAAGACCCTGGGTTCAATCCCCAGCACCACCAAAAAAAAAAAAAAAACAAAGCACTGTGACACATATATAAATGGACTATAACTTTTCTGGTTGTACATGATGTAGAGTTATAACAGTCACATAATCATATATGCACATAGAGTAATAAGTATATGATTCATTCTACTATCATTCCTACCCCCAAGCTTCCTCCCCTCTCTTCACTCCCCTCTGTCTAGTCCAAATTACCTCTATTCTCCCACATGATTATTGTGAATTAGCATCCACATATCAGAGAATTAGCATCCACATATTAGAGAAAACATTCGGTCTTTGGTTCTTTGGGATCGGCTTATTTTGCTTAGCATGATACTTTCCAGTTCCATCCATTTACTGGAAAATGCCATAATTTCATTCTTCTTTAAGGCTGATTTTAAGTCCTTGGTATAAATCTAAGAGTGGGATGATTGTGTCAAATGGTGGTTCCATTCTAAGTTTTCTTAGGAATCTCCATACTGCTTTTCATAATGGTTACACCAATTTGCAGTCCCACCATATGAGTGTACCATTTTTCCCACATCCTCTCCAACACTCATTTTTGCTTGTATTCTTGATGATTGCCATTTGTGAGTGGAGTGAGATGGAATCTCAGTGTAGTTTTGATTTGCATTTCTCTAATTGCTAGAGATGTTAAACATTTCTTCATATATTTGTTGATCAATTGTATTTCTTCTTCTGTGAAGTGTCTGATCAGTTCCTTTGCCCATTTATTGATTGAATTATGTGGGAATTTTTTTTTTTTTGGCATTAAGGTTTTTTAGTTTGTTTGTTTTGTTTTGTTTTTGTTTTGGTGCTGGGGATTGAACCCAGGGCCTTGTGCATTGGAGGCAAGCACTCTACCACCTGAGCTACATCCCCAGTCCTACGTTTTATGAGTTCTTTATATATCCTTGTTATTAATGCTCTCCCAAGATCCTATCTTAAAGAAAGAGTTCAACAGGAATTCACTGCAGGGTTCACAATAGTTATTAAAAACTAAAAAATTAAAAAGAGAAAATTATATAAATATCCAACACCCAAAGAATGGCTTAGAAAATCCCACAACCTTCTGATCAAGTAATGTGATATAGCCATTTTAAATGATCATTTTAAAGACCAAGAGGAAACAAAGCAAAGAATTTTTGACAAAATAATGAAGACTAAATACTATCACTACAATTTTTGGAGTACACGCATGTGTAAATGCAAAAAAGAATGTAGCTAGGTAAAGGTGGTAAGATTTGGGGAGGGTTTATTATTACTATTACCTTGTATAAACTGTCTTTGTGGTGTTATTTAGTATCTTTCAGTCAAAGAGAAAGAGAGAGGAAGTAAAGACAGACTCAACCTAACACTAAGGAACACCCAGGAGAACCAGGGCTGGGATGTGAAGTAGAAATTGAGAAACGTCCTACATACCCGGAAGGAGGAGGCCAAGCAGTCCCCAGGAGAAGGGAAGCCCTCCAGGTATGGAAAGGGTTGTAATTAGTCTGATGCTAATTACGGAAGTCTCACTAGCTTATTAATTTTTTGACAGAATCTGAATGAAGACTAAATTCCTTCATTAAACCAACCTGGGTTCAGAGGCATATTTCCTGCATAGCCATTCCTCTCAAAAAACTAGCCTTTCTTTAAAGCAGTAAAGTAAAATTTAGTAACAGAAACATGCACCCTGGAGAAATTAAGCCTCCTGCCTATAATGCAGAAATTCAAGCCATTTCAAAGAACCAAAGGGGCTTGAATAAGCAACTGAAGTACAATGCTTTGTATACTGGGAAATATAAACAGAAGTGCAAAATATTTAGCTCAGTATTAAAGCCGCCCCCCCCAATCAGGTCCCAACCCATCTTTCTGATATTACCTTGTAATTCCCATGCTTCAGCCAAATTTAACCACCAGTGACCCCAAAACATTTTCTTCACATTCCTACCCCTATGATTCTGTTCCTGCTGTTGCACTTAACTAAAAGTCTTCTCCTCTCTTCCAAGTGTTTGCTCAAATCTGAACCATCCTCCACAGAACAGCTCAAAGCCATAAGATCAAGCCAACCCCTGTATCCAGAATTCATTTCCCACTCTTCATAGTACACCCAAAATATTGTATTTTTAACCTCTTTAGAAGAGTTACACACAGTCTGCCTTATGATATAATCACCTGGGTAACTGGGGAATAGACTTTTCTAACATATTAAACCATGAGCTCCTTGGGGAAGCCACTTTAGGTTTCTACATGGAATCAATCATAATGCATGACACACAGTAGGTCCTTTGTAAACACTTCAAAGAAAGACAAGGAAAAGAGACATTTGTATGTAAGAAGTCACTTCCTACCTCAGTTGCTCCTGTAAGGCAATGCAGAGATGAAAGTGGGCTGTTCTGTGGTCTCGAGCAAGGGAAGGATGAATCCTGTTTTTCTAGTTTCCAGCTATCATGAGACTCCAATTTCCTCCCTAGTTGACCATAGTCTGCTCGGCCCCAGGTGAATACCTTGCCGGTTTCTAAAAATAAACATTATTTGAATTAAGGCTTCATCCCAGGGCTGTGCTTTCATGGGTAGGTTATGAATTACTAAAGGAAGTGTGAATATTTACATTAGCACCAACTACTAGGTACCAAAAGCCTTCCTATCTTCCTGTAAAGAAAGTACAAGTATTTAAACTTTTACAGATGTGGAAACTGAAAGGTTAAATGACTTGCCAAAGATCAAGTAAGTGGTGAGCACAGAGCAAGAATCAGAGGATGATTCTAAAGCCTGTGTTCTTGCATTAAATATAGATATACCCTTGAATATTACTGCAGATCAACTTCAACCACTCTCACAGCCTACCCACCTCTCCTCTTCTTTGCACCCTCCTCAAGCTTTGCACAGATGCCTGTTCTTAGGCTTTTGTCCCTTCTACCTAACCCAGAGTCCTTCACCCCCACTGAAGTTCCCCACACCACAATCTGTTAAGGCTTTCCTCCTAACTCAATTAATAGCCAGTTTCTTTGTTTTTTCTTTCTCCATTTTCCCCTCCACATAAGAGTCTGTGCTCCCACCCAAGCTGAAGCATGCTATCAAATCCAACTTCTTAAGAAGTTCAAAATACAGAAGCAATTCTAACAGTCCCAAGACAAGTGTCTATGTTTACTTGAGTTAAGGGAATTACAGAAGAAAGGAGAAAAAAATTAAAAAGACAAAATTATTTGGAGCCATAAAAGCATTCAGTTCCCCATTACCACTCAGGATGCTAACCAGTGCTATAGATGATAAAAGAAAATGAAGTTTGAAGAAGAAGAAATGGCCTTTCTTTTCCCAGATAAGAGAAAATTCACCAAACTTATTCAGTTGTGCCAAATGCCACATTTGTTATTTCAACAGAAATGCAAAATCCGATGAGGCATAGATTATTAACAGATTCTCTGCAATAAATATGCATAACCATGTGCGCTGTATAAATTCTTTATACATGTTTATTTTAACAAAGAAAAATTTTGCTTAAGAGACAAAACACAAAGTAATGCATATTAAATTCTAGACAAATATACTACATACTCTGTGTTTGATATCAAAGCTTCATCTGGCCCCACATTCAACATATGGTTCATAGTGTTGGCTAAAAAACTACCATGGATTCATGAAGGAAAAACACAGGGATACAGGGCTCTGCAGGGATATAATTCTCAGGTTTAACCTGCTTGTAAACACTAAAGTACATACTAAGGAATTCACTGGAATCTGACTCCTGGGCTTCCTCAGAACAAAGCCTATGCAGCCCACAGGGTGTCTGGTAATATTATGAGAACTTGAAGTGAGTCCACTCAGATGTGCTATTTCATGCATCAGCATGTGCTATTCCTTATGCTACAGATACCTTTCCTTACCTGGTAAACCATGAATCAACTTTTAGAGTCCAGCTTATGTATCACTAGTTCTATGAAAACTTTCTTGGCTCCCAAAATCTTCCAAGAAAGGATGAAACTCACCCTCCTTTTAGCCACCTTTGGTATTGTATTCAACTACTATGCTGCCTTTTAAAAGGCTCAGAAAAGTGACCTGCTTAAGGACACACAGCTAGCCATATCTCTTTCTACTAACCCATGGTACCACTCTGCATCAGTTATTCACACTGATCCATGCCACTGTATAATCACACAACACTCTTTCTCTATTTATGCAGGATTAGACTGAAAAAATTCAGGTGCCAAGGACCCATGAAGCATCTAAAACTGGCAAACTATCCCTCTATCTAAGCTTGGCTTGGATTTATAATCAGACTGCCTTAGCCAGAGATTCCCAAGAAGCCAAAGGATGAGACTGTTGCTTCTTAAATGACCCTAGCATTCCTCAACTGGGAAGAAATAGGAAGCTGCTATGAGTAAGACTACAGGAAGAAGTGTGTTATCACAATCACACAATGAAAGCCTTCTTTCACATTAAGAAAAACATCTTAGAACTTTCTCTTATTGATTACTGATGTCAAGACAGGCAAGAATGCCAGAATATTCAACCATTCCACTTATGTAGCACTTTTCACCTTCAAAGCACTTTACAAAGATTAACTAATTAATCTTCATATTCTCTGGGGAAGCCACAGACATTCTAGTAGAGACAAGTCAGAAACCAGGCCAACTCAACACTCAGCCTCCAGTCTCAAGCCTAAGTTTGGCACACTCTCTGAATCTGTTTGTCAGTTTCTCATGATATACTCTGTTTCAGAAGGTCCACAGAAGACAGGGGAGACTCTTATTTCTTCTTTTGTTTTACACAAACACTTATGAACAACCTCCCAAGTACATAGCACATTCATAGACACTATCTCAATCAATCCTTATAATTCTGACATAGAGATTATTAACTTTACATTTCAGATGAGGGTTAAATGACTTGGTCAAGTTCAAACAACCAACAGGTCATGGAATCAAGATTTAAACCTGTGTCTTCTGACTCCAAGTCCAATAACATCTACAATGATCTACACACTGCTATCACATACTGGAAAAGCTTGGCTGATAAAACAGCCTTTTTTAGCATGTTTGAGGAGAGAGATCTAGATTGAATGGATCTGCTCTGCATGCCACCCAGCTTCCCTCACATGAATGACCACCCTAGGAGGCCAAATAGAACTAGGACTATAACTGCTAAAAGAAGGGCATTAAACACATGGATTGTGATTTTTATAGAACTGGGAATAAAAGAAAATAAAGAATCTACATTCAAAAATGTTCATTAATGCACTGTAGATAAATGTCTGCCTCAAGCTGAAGCATGCTGTCAAATCCAAGGTTTTGCAGATCACAAATTTAATAAATGAATCTTTTCCTTAAAGAATTATATACTACCATGATAAAAAAGATATTAATGTCATTTAAAAAGTATAGGTATGTGTCTTGAATAAATGATAAATGAGAGAAATGACAAAACAGCTCAAAATAAAGTTAGCAAGTGAAATATAATTTAAAGGCATGTCCAGTAAGAATTAACAATAACCAAACTATACAACCAAAAAAGTAACATTGCAAAAGATCTCAACACAACACAGAAAAACAGGGGACAAGTGAATAGTACTAACAGAGAACATTTACAAATCTTGGAGGAAACATTTCAAGCTAGAATTGTCCTGGCAGGCTCAATGGAACAAGTGGCATTTAAGGTGAACTTCTGGATTAAAAAAGACAATAAGAGAATGAAAGAGGATATTGGAGGAACAGGGAAAGAGGATACACATTAACATAGAAATTGAAAGGCATAAGAAAGGAGCAGGAGAGAAAAGGAGGGTCACAGGAGGGACGCTAAGAGGAAAGTGGTGGCCACAGTCTGGGGCCAGTCACAAAGAAGTGATATGCATGGGAATCTGAATCTCATCTTACAGGGGGTCTCCAAACTTGGTTGCTTGCCCTATTCTATCAGTAACATATTTTTCCACATACCAACAGATGATTATCATTTATTTATAAAAGAATACACTTGGTATTTTATACATTTTTAAATTTTGAATATGTACCCTCTCTCATAAATATACAGAATAAAACATACTCAAAAAATAGAAAATGTAAAAGAACGTGAGAAAAATATACAAGAAATCTTAAGATTCTCTTACCACACTCTGGCACTTTGCCTTTAGGGACACATGCTCACTTTAGGGACAATGCTAACTAAACAATGGGGAGACTTCAGGATTTGAACAGGGGTATGGCCTGATGAAAGCAATGTTTGAAGATGGTACCTCTGGCAAAGGAATGAAGCAAGCCATCAACAATACTTTTAGCTCACACTTCTGTAACACCTGTTATGTACCAGACACTTTCTAATCATTCTCTATACAGTATTCTGTTCCTTTCTCCAAACAACCTTGTGGCACAGATATTCTCACCATGCCCATCAGGAAACAAGGTACTCAGTCCAAGTCACAAAGGCAGTTATATGAAAAGGAAAGAAAAGACAGAAACTACCAATCACATGAGTCCAAGATGCATCAGGTATTAATTAATCTGTGGTTGGAGTCATTAAAATACTACTAAGAATAATAATAATAATTTTATTATTATTAATAAAATAATAATAATAATAATATTATTACTTGGGTGGCTTGACACCCCAATAGATGTAAGAAAAAGGGAACAGGAAGATATAAACACTCTAGGAGATTTCAGGATTTCAAGATTAGTAAGAAGGTGCCATTAAAAGAAGTAGATAAGTGTGTAGAGATGCTAGGTCAAGAGTCTCATAAAATCTTATTTCATTATCAAATTATTTAACTCTCCTAGGGACTCTGCAAACATATTATCAAATAGTCAAATACAAAAAAAAAAGAAAGAAGAAAAAGAAGAAGAAGGAGAAGGAGGAGAAGGAGAAGAAGGAGAAAGACACTGAGGAAAAGGTGAGTGGGTAGTGAATATTCCAGGGACCAACTCTAGCATCCATCCAGGGCTGTCCAGGGTAGTGGGTGAAGGTAGATACCTATTTCTATCCTGTTCCAGGAAGGGGTTCCTGAAAGTGACAGAAAGATTAGAGAATATTCATATTTTATTAATCTATCCAAATGGAACAGAATATCATTGATGATAACAAAATGCAGTTAGCAGACAGAGGTGGATGTTATTTAAAAAAAAAAAAAAAAAAAACCTATGGTCAGACAGAGACAAAGCCACCAGATCTTTTCATTCCCTCCCCTCTATAATCCTAGGATGCTACAAGGCCTTCTAAAAGACACACACAAGAGAAGGACACCCTTCTCTGCCTATTAATTTGTTATATTTATCATTCCTCTGTTTATAAACACTAGTTACTCTGAGCATATTCATTCTAAGTCTTTAGAAGGTTTTGCAACTCCTTCTTTGTTTTACCAGGTAAACAGAAACTTTATAAAAAGATATTTGATGATAATAAAAAGAATTGTTCAAACACAAAACTAACTGCCTGAGTCATCCAGTATCATCTTTCTGGGTAAGGAGCAGGAAAAAAAGAAGAAGAGGGCACAGAGCACAGGTACCAGCAGTCACACCAGGTCGCTTTCCA